ACACTACCCCAATTCCGACCCGCAAAGGCCGGTTTTATCGCTAATCCCCTCGTCGGAGGTGGTGTAAAGAAACCAGTTTAAAGGACCCTTTAAGTCGAAAGAAAGGGCTTCGTTGTGTGGACATGTCCAGGCTTAATTCGGTTTAACGCTGCTAAAGTCGACCTAAACCCGTAGTGTAGACCAGGCCTTAGAAGACCTTAGAGACATAACCCTTCCACTTGAAGAAATACCCACAACTCACCAAGTCAAACCACAGCCTAGGAGGACTTCTGTGCTTCTCAGTGATGCTGAACTCTTAGTAGCACCTCCAAGAAACCCATTCTGTCATTTCAGCTGGCTAGGAGACCGCATCCTCTCCTTGCTGATAGTAACCAGGCCTCAATAATAGATGCCTTTGTTAGTTCCCATCTAGGCCACAGCAATGTAACTTATCAGGGTTGAAGGCCTCAGCCCTGAGGAAATTGCAACGAATGTAGAATGCAGCTGTCTACCTAATCAATATATCACTCCAGTAGTCTTCTTACTCTTCTAGCTTTCCATAGAATACCATGTCAAGTTTAAGGTCTTGATACTTACTTTCAAGGTGCTAAATGGTTTGATCCTAGGATACCTAAAAGAATGTTTCACACTCAAGGACTCAACCGCTCATTAATTGTTTCATGATTTTTGATTAGCAATTTGTTTTTATATATACGTACTTGCCATATTTTCTAGTCAGGTATCCACTGCCCATAGACCCCAAGAGTCCCCCTATACCGAAGACAGACACAATGAAGGACCACAGCAACATAAGGGTCTCATGATGAAGAGGAGAGCCATATCGCTCTTGCCAGGTTTCATTGATAAACTTTTTAACATGCTGGGAAAGAAAAAGGGGATTTTCATTAACTATAAACACGACTCCAATGGATTGTTCTTAGTTATTTGTCATATTTTCAGCCACTATTTAGAAGAAGTTAAAAGTGGGTGACTTACTATTAGACATAGTTTAAAAAAGAACCCATAATTCCACCAATTTTTTTTGCTGTTCTTGAATCTGAGACCTTGAACATCATCTTTGTATTGCTCCTTTTCTGTTTCATACTGTGGAACTGCTAGGAGCTAAAGGCCAGAGAGAGTTTAATATATTTGGAGTGGAGTGAAAAATTCCAGAGATGCAAGGCTGCCCGGGGGCAGGGGGGGGGAGCAAGTGGGGCAATTTGCCCCAGGCCCCGCAGGGCCCCCCACAATAATATAGTATTCTATAATATTGCAACTTTTTTTTATGGAAGGGGCCCCCAAAATTGCTTTGCCCCAGGCCCCCTGAATCCTCTCGGTGGCCCTGCAGAGATGTTACTTGTATTTGATTAAAAATTGTGATTTAATTTATAGCTATGAAAATAAGAGGGTAATGACATTGGCTTTAAGTCAGACACAGTTCAGAATTCCCCATGCAGTTCTGAAGTGCACCTCAATCTCGATCCTCTCTTAAACAGTTGACTGGTAGTGCTTTTACAGTGAGATTACCCACCTTATTTTCACTTTCACTGTCCCGAAGCCTTAAAATTCAACTTTCTCTGTAAGGTGAAGTCCACTGAATAACATTGAATCCCCACAGAAAAGGCATTGCCTTCAAAGGAAATATATTTAGACTTTTGCCCTTTTTTGCTTCTTTAGGACGTATAAAAAAGATCTGAAAGGTATTTGTTTTATTTTATTACATTTGCTTGCTTGTGAGTTTTTTACATTAGAAATGCAGATCTCGTCTATCCTAGATCATACTCTGGTGACTGGAGAATTAATGAAGTTACTGGATGACATCACAAAATTTGAGACTGTAAGCTGAACAACTGTGAAGGGTGCCTCATGCAGGGATTCGTCTCTTCTATCTCTTGGCCTACCGAAGGCACTCCCAAAGACAGGGGTGTGGGGGCTATACAGAAAAGTTAACACTATGTGGGGATCTATTAGTTTTTCCTGGTAACCTTAGGGCGGGAGCGGGATGATGAATGTCCCATCTATGCCATCTCCAGCTTGTCCTGTCTTCATCCACTCCCCCATCATGACCTCAGACCACATGGATCTAGGCAGGCATGATCTGACTCTTGGTTTTGTGTTAACACCTATTGAATTCCAGTCATTACTGAGTATTTTAGAAAAAGAAGGAAGCTTATAAGAGCTAAGTATTTTTATTATTTTATTATTTATTAAAGATTCAACACCACTTCCCCTTTATGTCATGAGACCTCAAAATACCCACACTCTGAGAACCCCAAGAGGTGTCCTTCAGCAAAACTTGGGAAGACCAAACTTGACATTCCTAATATTTCCAGTGTATGAAAACAGAAGATTAAAAAAAACCCAACACATTAAGGTCTTCTTTATACATCATCAAGAAGTAAAGTAAAGCAAAATCCTACTTTACAGACCCACTCTGAGGTCTCAGCACTATGCAATAAGGAAATGCACAACCCTACTGCCTTAACTTACTGACTGCACCATCTGTCAGAAGAAAAGCTAGCTATAGCATAAAGCATTCTGAAAATACAACTCCACTCCTCTCCTCTCAATTATTTTGTACACTTTGAGGAACACTGACTTACAGGATAGAATAGAAAAGGGAGGAATAGTTGCAATGTAAACACTTGGTGGATTGCCTTGAAGGAGCATTCTCAAGCTAGCATGCAGTCCCATTGCACACACAACCAAAGAGTATTCTAGCTGCTTAAGACTGCTTACCACAGAAGTGTAAGTGATCATAGAAATTTGAAGGCCAACTTGCAGGGATCCGCCAATTCCCAAAACGAAGATAATTTGAAATAGCCTTTGGTACTTAATCTGCAAAGAAAAAACACTCTTTAAGCTTGTGGTAAGACCAAGATAGGGCTGGCTGCAGGCAACAGCGGAGCAAGCACATGTCTGGGGCGGCACATTCTAAGGGGCGACATTCCGTCCATTCTTGGGGCGGCAGAGTCCGGGCAGCTTTTTTTTTTTTGTGCTTTGGCAGTCCAAGCCTTTTTTTTTTTTTTTTTTGCTTGAGGCGGCAAAAAATGGTAGAGCCGGCCCTTGACCAGGATGTTCCTTATATTTGTCTTTAAGTTTCCAGAAATATATCTCAGTTGTCACAGACTCTTGCAGATGTAAGAAACGTCACAGGAACAGAATAAGAATATTGTATTGTCTTCACTGAAATGGTAGCAAAGCATAAGTGGGGCCTTGGTTCTGAAAACACTCTTTCTCCCTCTACTTGCTCTGGGGCCAGAGGTGTGTTATCCGGCTTTTTCTCTACATGCAGCTCAAGGAACTGCATTTTGCTGCCATGGAAACCCTGGAGTTTCCCTGTCAACAGTCTGATATGTTGTGGGGCTTCCCAGGGTTAATGTAAGTAGTAGCTGTGGGAAGAGAATTGTTTTTGGCCTCTGCCACTGGATTCTGAATGGGACTCATGCCATCTCCAGCTGTTCCCAAAAGATCTTTGCATGATTGGGATTGTATTGTCACATATTTTATTTGTGTTTTCTCTTATGCCACGTGCTAATGAATAAGCACCTCATGACTCTCCCATTCCCTTGATTGTCTCCCAGACTGTCCTCCGAGCTACGTAGGAGCCTTGTTCCAATATTTTTTCACTTTTCTTGTTAAAAGGATATCATCTAAAAAAGTGTGTTCTGCTTCAACCATCCTGACTGCAGAACAGTTACTCAAAGAAGCCATGTCACATACATAGATTTGTTCTAAAGAAGTCTTAATGGAAATATCACAGAAACATTTTCAACAGTATTGACATCTTACATTTTTCACAATTTTTAACCAAAATTTTAATGAAATTATATCAGCATTTATATCAACATTATTTTCAAAATCATTAATGAGATATTTCATTTACCAAAAGCTCAGTCTTCAGACAGAAAACAAATAATTTTCAGTAAAGGAAAAAAATTATAAAAATTTCAACATGTTGGTTAAAATTATGAAAAATTGTGTGAGACAGAAAATTTTCGACCTTGTGAAATGGAAACAATTTCAAATTTTTGTGCGAAATCATTTTTGTTGGTTTTGACCAGCTTTAATTTTCAGCGAGTAGGAGGCAGATTCTTCCTATTGATATATTGGTTTTGTCATCTTTAAAGTGCTGATAGCATTAAAAACACCAGCTGCAAAAGGTAAACCCCGGGGTACTCACCAGGTCTGAAAGGCAGCTGGACATCTCTGGTTAAAGGGCTTACTGTTCCCAGTTCTTAGTAGGTCTCTTTTATTATAAATGAATGAACTAGTTTCTGTGTCTACATCCTTGTCTGAAGTGTGGCAATGAGGAACTGGCACCATGGGATTACTGTTAAATTTGTACTTTGTACTGTTTTCTTTGTATTATATATTTTGCAGTATCTGGACAAGGTTTAAAACTGTTGAGTTAGCTATTTCAGGAGAATGTGTCTAATCTAAGCCAATGGAGGGAGAGTTATCCCTATCTCAGAATATTAGTCACTATGGGGTGCTCATTGATTTGGGAAGGGAAAGAGGTACATGGATCAAGCATAAAACCTAAAATGTGCCAGTTACTGTAAAATACTTTAGTTCTCTGATCTAAACTCAGAAGTGTCTCTGCAGTAATACTTATCTGAATTAGAACGTGCCTGATATAGAGTTTGTACAATGAGTTACGTTACTGTGAAGTAAAAATACGCTGTTCTGTACTGTCATATGAACTGTGAATGAAATGCCCTGTAATTTAGGGTCCAGCTTTGCAACTCTTTCTAACCGTTGGAATCACTTACTCATGAAAGTAGTCCAGCTGAAGGCAATGCAGTAAGTGCTCCCCAGGGTGATGAAAGGTGGCACAAATTTATCCTTAATCATTAAGTTCAGTACCTGGTTGTCATGGTCTCTGGATATGTTGCCCCTCCTGTGACACTTTCCCAGTCCCCTGAGGACATCCATTTCAGGCAGCTGGTCTGTTCTTCCATTTCTCCTTGGGACAGGATCCTGCAATCCAGCCACTCTCTGCCTGGGTTTCTGGCTGCCAACTATGTTACCTAGTAGGTCCAGCTAGGCTTGGACCCTGCAGGAGTTCTTTTTTGGGAGCCTGTGGTCAGGAATAGCATGCAGTGACACTAAAGCAGTTTCTCCAAAATAAAGTATGGTATATTTTACCCAAATTATACACAGAGCTTAGAGAAATAGTCAACAATAACAGAGACATCTACACACATTCTCTTGCCTGCGCTTGGCTTTCTCCTCAAGCCCCTAGGTAGATATGACTTAGCCTTGGTGCCCAGAGAAGATGGGGACAAGTTACAGTTTGCTTGCTGATGACTCCCAGCTAAAGACCCTTGCTGAACCCATTCTGACTTGGGTGTCAGCCTTGTTGCATGCTGACTCTGTGTCCCTTTATCAGCTTCTAACTGAGGTGACCTTCCCCCACTATCCTTTCTGCCAGGACACCGTTTTAACCCTTGTGGGTCATTTGATCTCACCCCGAGCCTTGGGAAGAGAAACACATCCTAACTGGGATTGTGCCAGCCATGTAGATTCTTCCTCCAGTTGATGTCCCAGCTATTGTTGTCTTAACTCCTTTGCACTGGGTACGTTCGGGGCTCTTTTATCTGTATCATTGTTTACCCTTCCTGAGTTCCTAAACAGCCCCCCTTGTGTAGCCTCCTTTGATTTGATTACACATTAAGGGGGGTAACCATTCCAGTTTGAACAGAGAAGACAATGACTTATTAATAAACAATTAATATTAATAAGAAATGATATAGACATTTCCCCAATTTGTCACACTGGGCTGTCTACTCCTTTGCTCTACGCTGCAGGCACAAAAAAAGCCCTAAAACCACTCTATCCAACCATGGGAAGGTCAGCCTAGTGTCAGAGGATTCTCTCATGACCTAGTGCCAGAGTAATGTCTTCTTCACCAGGGGTTCTCAAACTTCATTGCACCACGACCCCCTTCTGACAACAAAAATTACTGCATGACCTCAGGCGGTGGGGACCAAAGCCTGAGTCCGCCTGATTCCCACTGTCCTGCGCGGGGTAGGGGTCAAAGCTGAAGCCCAAGGGCATCAGCCCCAGCCAGGGGGCCTGTAACCTGAGCCCACCGCCCAGGGCTGAATCCCTTGGGCTTTGGCTTCAGCCCTGTGCAGTGGGGCTCGGGCTTCAGCCCTGAGCCCCAGCAATCATAGAATCATAGAATATCAGAGTTGGAAGGGACCTCAAGAGGTCATCTAGTCCAACCCCCTGCTCAAA